TATTTTTTTCTTATTGAAATCATTGATAAAAGTAATAAGATACCTCTTATTGCGATTGGAGATGGGATTGATTGGTCCATAGATGTCGACAGGCACCAATTAAAGAATATATGATTCTTTTTAGTTGCTTTTCTTTGGAAATGAGTATCTTTTTTCCCTTCCTATCAAACAATCCTTGCATGACTTTAAAAGAGACCGAAATTGTGGTAAACTAGTCACCATTTTCTTCTACCGAAGAGTTTTTAAGCCCTTAAAGTTCAAATGACCATATCTATAATTCCAAAGTCGCACCTCATCCTCACTAGTTATGTTGAAGTAAGTGGATATCATAGACCGAGATAAGGCATGTAGTATGTACACTCGATCGAAGGTCATTTTTGTATCCATAATTAAAGCTCTATCGAGATGAAATACCTTCATGTTGAAACAGAATGTCAAGTCTCTTTTCTTGGAACTACCTAATGCTCTACAAATTATTCTTTAGTTCGTCACATAAAATACTTCCATGATGATTTACATTGTTCCATTCATATAGAGCCTTACATTTCGTTTCCCTATGATAGACATTTTTAAATTGTTTCCCATCTTCATAGAATCTTTATATTTTTCATCAAAATATGAAAAACATTCATTTTTTCATACATATGATTACTTCAACTCGAGTAAAAAAACCACATGTCTTCTCTAGTTTCTATAGTTTCATCCATATAGGCCATTATTAGTAACTCTTCTTGACTTTTAGTATAGTTTATCTTCTTTTTCTTACTTGAACATTCCCACTCAAAGTGCCTAAGCTTATGGCAATTATAACATTCTATCGTAGCCTTGTTAAAACCTTGCATGCCTTTCTCATTATTCTACCACAAAAATTACCACGATCACCACCTCTTCCTCCGAATTGATCTCCACGAGTTGTCTTCAAATCTTTTTCTTCCTCAACATGAGAGCTCATACATTGTTCGTGCACAAGCAAGCTACTCCGTAACTCATCAATAGTCGGCATGCTTGCATTCTTTGACTCCTCAATAAAACATAACACATAGTTAAATTTTGAAGTCATGGATCTTAAAATGTTTTCAACAACAACAATAACATCTCCCTTGTCCTCGCCATTGGCTTTCATCTTGTTAGCTATGGTAAGGGTTCGAGCAAAGTATTTATTCATAGATTCTCCTACTTTCATATGGAGAAATTCAAACTTCTTCTGAGAGCTTGCAATTGTGCTCTCTTGATCGGTATTGTACTTAGATACTTCTATTTCATAGAATAATTCTTTGCTTTTAAATCTTTTAACTTATGTTTTTCAAGATTCCTTTTTTGTACATCTAAAAGAATAACACATTCTACTATTGCAGTATATCCCATTACGAAATTTTCCATGAGTGCTAGCATTTCCCAATGAACATAATGCCCACTAAATTTTGGAACCGCTAGTTGAACTAAAGAACTTTTTGTTGACATATATTTATTTTCTCATACAAGAAAGATAGAGATTTCGTGCTCGATACCAATTGTTAGCTTTAAGAAAGAAGCATAAAGAACTGGAGGAATCAATCATTTAAGAAAACAAAAGCATGGCTAATATATAGTCTTGCATCGGAAAAGATAAAAACTAAAAAGACGTAAGCCTATCGCTATACCAATCTTGTGAGACAAGATTAGTTCAACCTAAGACTTCCTTCATGCACTTTTCAAAGCCTAAAAGGAATAGAAAGAAAACAATATATATATAAGCAAAGAAAAGGTCGGAAAAATATCCTATTAGTCTAAGTAGCCAAATAAATATAAATTTAAATGTACCTTATTTATCTTTCTTTTCGACTCCATATTGTTGTTACATCCATCACATACGTATATATACATTAACGTTGGCTTTAATGGTATTAACAATGCCAATATTAGAAAGATTGTTGAAACATTTCTTTCAAGCGCTCTTGTTTAGTTAAGATTTTCTTTAACCGAATCTATGAGGAAAAGGAACTGGTGATTTGTTATCTTTCTTAATAAAGCTTTTATATTATAAGCATGTCGAAGAAGCTATACATTAATAAATTTTAATTTTACTAGACTTGATTATAATTCTTACGCCCATCTAGCCATACAATACTAAATTAAGGAAACCTCTTTTCCCTTGGCAAGCGTTTATTATTACTATTATTATTATTATTATTCGTTAATTATCTTATTATTAGTATTTTATTGATTTACAAAGAATGAGTTTTTTGTGGAATCTTTGGACAAATATAACTAGTCATCCACTATTCAAAACTAGCCGTGTATGAATTGTAATCCTACCAATTTGACAAATTTTTATTGTCAAGAAATCAAATTGGAAATAGAGTGTTGTTCTATTTCACAAGTAGCTAAACTAAGTTGAATAATAGATCTCATATTGTCTCATAGTCCGCAAAAATCAATTTGCTTCTTGTTAGAATTTGAAACCAGGATCAGTACAAATGCCGACGCATGCACTTACACCATCAGGTGGTCAGGCGTCAAGTTGAAGCAGATAGATTCTGTACACTGCCAGGGTAATACCTACGCAAATGTTTTGTTGGCTAGTGCCAACAACCAAATGTAGTGATGACAAAAAACTAAAAACAAAAAACAAAAAAAAAACAATGTATTTATCATGCGCGGTCACGTGATTCTTAATTACTTAAACACAAAACAATGTATGACATCGAAACTGCTTAAAAAAAAACCAAATGACTCCTACACTTAGAAAGTCGAAAAGCCAAGAAGCATTAATTCTTTTAAATAAATTTTTATTTATGATAAATCAGTCGCAATTATATGTATATATATGATCAAATTTGATTTCAAAATTCAAAATTAAATAGTATATCGTAACCCGTCAAGAGCTTAAAGAAACTCATTAATTATGTGTATTTCTTTAATGTGTGCCTTAAAACCTAATTCTATCGTAAATGACAACAATAAAATCATGTATACCAATCCTTATCCTCCTCCATTTTTCTTTCTTTCATTTTGACCCATAGCTAATTCTTAAAAAATACATAAATATATTATTCTATTTAAGTTAAATGATCCAAACCTTCTCTAAATTTTAAGTTTGAAAAATAAATTTTTTAATTTTTAATTTCGGAGTAGATCTCCTTCCAACTATTTTTTATTTAAAATTAAATCATTCCGTTAAGTTTTCATCAATTTTAATGTATAAGTATAATTTTTCAATAACTAAAAACATGTTAAAAATTATGGATATTTTGTTTTGTTCTCCAAAATTTATTTTCCCCCTCCTAAATGCTTAAGAATAAGTAATTAAAAAATATTTTAAAAGGATAAAAAAATTGGAGGAAAAAGTAAAAACAGTTTTTGTATATTTTTAACTACTGAAAAAATTAAAAAGCTAACCACGTATAAATCGTGTGTATTGACAATTTAATTTTGATTTTGACAAAAAAAAAAAAAAGAAGAAGAAGGGGGTTTTGCTATCACTTACAAATGCAAAAATAACCCGTAACTAATTAATTTTGTTAAGTTATTCATTAAGGTACAAATGTGAGGTAATGTATTTACACTAATAAGAAAATTATAATTTTAAGGTAATGTTGTTTGGTTTTTTGTTTTTAAAATATTATTCTCTTTGTTCTGCTTTTTATTTTTATTTGTTCCAAAATAATTATTTGATCTAAACATTTAAATTATGTATTTTACTACAATACCCTTAATTAAAACTCATTTGTAAGGAATTATAATTAAAAATAAAAGATATTTTTGAAAAGTATGGATAAAAAACATGAAATACTAAGAAATGATGTTTTTAATATATGTGAAAAATCAAATATGACAATTTGTTTGGAGCAGATAGAGTAATTCGTTTTAATTTTGAAATTTAAGAGCTCAATTGAAATCATATAAATATACTGTGAATTGTGTAGTTGTCACAAATTTTTCCTCTTTTAATGGTCCTCACTCAAAGCTTTTCGTTAGCCATTAACTTTCCTTTATGATCTTATCAAGAAAACGGAAAGGCATGAACAACAAAATTGAAAGATGATAAAATGCCTAATCACTCTCACACATGCCCGTCTCCAATTTGCACTACCGTTACAACTCAGAGAAACCCTAACCGAAGGTCCCACCTCAGCATTAGAAAAAATAAAACGTAATAAATTTCAGACATTCCCCAAAACGTCTATATGTAAGTTACTATTAAATAAACCAATCCAAACCAGCCACGTTATCCATTTTATAATATAAAAATAAAGCAACTATCACATTCATTATTTTCGTGTCCTTTTTTTTTTAATTCCTAGAAAATCCCGTCTTGATAGGTGGGCTCCCACAGGATCCCCACTTATTACCTCACTGATTGTTCCGTGTATGTCACTTCTTTAATAGCGCGTGCTCCAACATCACAAAAGTTTCAGGTACCATTTGATCATAATATCAGCGTAGCTACATATCAGTCCCTACAGTTTTAAATTAACTTGAATTGAGCATCGAAAGCTATAAATATATCGCAATTTTACCATCCAACATCAACTTTGAACTTTTTATCAATTATTTTATAAAATGTTCATGATTGAATGATATTGAAGCATATTATATAGAAATATTTATCAAAGATACGCCAAAAAGCTGTAGATGTTATAGACAAGCAAATGATATTAGTAGAAATGTGGAGAAACAAACAATAAAACCTTGAGCCCAAAGTATTGGTGTACGATAAAGACTAAAATTCTTTGATTTCAAACTTCAGGGACTGCTTTGCAATCATGAAGCCCAACAAACACAGAAAGCCTCCACTTTTACCTCGCTTTTGAAACTTTCTTTTCTAGTGTCATCCAAATCCTAAAACTACTGCATTTCCTTCCGGCTTTCTTTTCACTTCCTTAAAACACCCACCTTTCTTGCTCTCCTTAAACTTCACTTTCCACTTCTACTCCTTCTTGCCTGAAACCTACAGAAATGAAGACAACAGCAGCAGCACAGACATTTCAAGATTGAACTCAAAACACCTGTTAGTTACCATGAGTGCAAGGCAGGAGCCTTATTACACGCGCGGTCGGAGTGACCTCCAAGCGCCTCCTCCACCACCACCAATAACGCCATCCGTCTACAATATAATCCCAATCCATGACCTACTAACGGACCACCCGTCTCTCCGGTACCCGGAGGTCCGAGCAGCCGCCGCCGCCCTCCGCACAGTTGGTGACCTCCGTAAACCACCGTATGTAACATGGGACCCGCACTGGGACTTGATGGACTGGCTAGGTGTCTTCTTTGGGTTTCAGAAAGACAACGTCAGGAACCAAAGAGAACACTTGGTGCTTCAGTTAGCAAACTCCCAAATGCAGCTTGAGAAGCCGCCGTCTATCCCTGACGCTCTCGACGCCACCGTACTCCGCCGTTTTCGGAGGAAGTTGTTGGGGAATTACACTTCTTGGTGTTCTTATTTGGGGAAGAAGTCGGAGGTGATTCTACCAAAAGTTAGCAATGATCATAGTCTTCGCCGTGAATTGCTTTATGTTGGGCTTTTTCTCCTTGTTTGGGGAGAATCTGCGAATCTTCGGTTCACGCCGGAGTGTGTTTGCTATATTTATCATCATATGGCAATGGAATTGAATAAAGTTCTTGATGATTGGACAGACCCCAGTACAGGTGGGCATTTTTTGCCTTCGATTTCTGGTGATTGTGCGTTTTTGAACTGTATTGTTGTGCCCTTTTATGAAACTATTAAGGCTGAGGTTGAGAGTAGTAGAAATGGGAGTAAGCCGCATTCCGCTTGGAGGAATTATGATGATATAAATGAGTATTTTTGGAGTAGGAGGTGTTTTAAGAAGTTAAAATGGCCTATTAATTTAGATAGTAATTTTTTCGCAAAGGTTAAGAAAAGCAGGAGAGTTGGCAAGACAGGGTTTGTGGAGCAGAGGTCATTTTGGAATGTGTTTAGGAGTTTCGATAAGCTTTGGGTTTTGTTGATTTTGTTTTTCCAAGCTAGTTTGATTGTTGCTTGGGCGAGGACTAAACACCCATGGCAGGCGTTGGAGAGGCGGGATGTGCAGGTTGAGTTGTTGACTTGTTTTATCACTTGGGCTGGTCTTAGGTTTGTGCAGTCGGTGCTAGACGCGGGGACACAATATAGCTTGGTTTCGAGGGAGACGCTGTTGTTGGGGGTGAGGATGGGGTTGAAAAGCATGGTTGCTTTGACGTGGACCATTGTGTTTGGGGTCTTTTATGGGAGGATTTGGAGTGCAAAGAATTCTGCTGGGTTTTGGTCTCCTGAGGCAGACAGGAGAATAGTGACATTTCTTGGGGCTGCCTTTGTGTTTGCTATCCCTGAGTTGCTGGCATTGCTTTTTTTGCACTTCCTTGGATTAGGAATGCCCTTGAAGAACTGGATTGGAGTATTTTGTATGTGTTCACTTGGTGGTTTCACACTCGGATTTTTGTGGGGCGTGGACTGAGGGAAGGGCTTTTTAACAATATCAGCTATACATTGTTCTGGATCGCGGTATTGGCTTCGAAATTTGTGTTCAGCTATTTCTTTCAAATCCAGCCACTGGTTGCCCCAACAAAGGCTCTTTTGGATCTCGGGCGCATGTCGTACAATTGGCATGAGTTTTTCAGTAGCAGTAACAGAATTGCAGTTGTGCTGCTGTGGCTCCCAGTTGTTCTAATTTATTTTATGGATTTACAGATCTGGTATGCTATTTTCTCTTCGATTGTTGGTGCAACAATTGGGCTGTTTTCCCACTTGGGTGAGATCAGGAATGTTGAACAGCTTAGGCTTAGGTTTCAGTTCTTTGCCAGTGCTATGCAATTTAATCTTATGCCAGAAGAACAATTGCTAAGTCCTAAGATGACCCTGGTGAAGAAGCTCCGTGATGCAATCCACAGATTAAAGCTAAGATATGGACTTGGTCAGCCTTACAAAAAGATTGAATCAAGCCAAGTGGAGGCAACTAGATTTGCCTTGATATGGAATGAGATTATGACAACTTTTCGGGAAGAAGATCTCATCAGTGATCGGGAATTTGAACTCTTAGAACTGCCACCTAATTGTTGGAACATTAGGGTTATTCGCTGGCCTTGCATCTTACTCTGCAATGAGTTGCTGCTTGCATTGAGTCAGGCAGAAGAGCTGGCCAATGCACCTGATCGGTGGATTTGGTTGAAGGTAAGCCAAAGTGAGTACAGGCGGTGTGCTATAATTGAAGCATATGATAGCATCAAGTATTTGCTTCTTGAGGTTGTCAAACCTGGCACAGAAGAGAGTTTCATCGTTGGAAATTTCTTTAAAGAAGTGGATGAGAAGATACAGTCTGAGATATTTTCTGAGTCTTACAAGATGAATAGACTGCCAGACATTCATCCAAAGTTAATATCACTTGTTGATCTTCTGATGAGACCGGGGGAAGATCTTAGCAAAGCAGTTAGCAAAGCAGTGAATATATTGCAGGCTTTGTATGAGATTTGTGTTCGAGAATTTCCAAGAGAAAAGAGGAACACCGGGGAATTGATTCGAGATGGTCTGGCCCCTCATAGTCCAGCTACCAATGAAGGGTTGCTCTTTGTGAATGCCGTTGAGTTTCCTGATGCTGAAGATGAGTTCTTCAACAGGCAGGTACGGCGTTTGCACACAATTCTTACTTCTAGAGACGCAATGCATGATGTCCCAAAAAGTATTGAGGCAAGACGACGTATTGCCTTCTTTAGCAACTCCCTCTTCATGAACATGCCACATGCTCCCAATGTTGAGAAAATGATGGCTTTCAGTGTTCTGACCCCTTACTATGATGAAGAAGTGTGCTTTGGCAAAGAAAACCTTCGACGCCCAAATGAAGATGGCATTTCCACAATCTTTTATCTGCAAAAAATCTATGAAGATGAGTGGAATAATTTTATGGAACGCATGCATAGAGAGGGTCTAGAGGATGACGAGGAAATCTGGGATAAGAAGTCTAGGGATCTCCGACTTTGGGCTTCATACAGAGGCCAGACGTTATCCCGCACTGTGAGGGGAATGATGTATTATTATCGAGCACTTAAGACACTTTCCTACTTAGATTCGGCATCTGAGATGGATATAAGGATGGGCACACAAGAACTCGCCTCTCATCATTCATTGAGGAACAGCCGTGGTTTGGATGGTCTTAATTCAGTCAAGCCACCATCTGTACGTAAACTAAGCAAAGCTAGCAGCAATGTCAGTCTTTTATTTAAAGGGCATGAGTATGGGAGTGCTCTGATGAAATTCACATACGTAGTCACCTGCCAGTTGTATGGGCAGCAAAAGGCAAAGCCAGACCCACGTGCTGAAGAGATTCTGTATCTCATGAAAAACAACGAGGCCCTTCGAGTTGCTTATGTTGATGAGGTTCGCTTGGGGAGGGATGAAGTGGAGTATTATTCAGTTCTTGTGAAGTATGATCAGCAGCTGCAGAGGGAAGTGGAGATCTATCGGATCAAATTACCTGGTTCCATAAAGATTGGAGAAGGAAAACCTGAAAATCAGAACCATGCTATAATCTTTACTCGGGGCGAGGCACTCCAGACCATTGACATGAACCAAGATAATTATTTTGAAGAGGCACTAAAGATGCGAAATTTGCTGGAGGAATTTAAAGCCTATTATGGTATCAGGAAACCAACCATTTTAGGAGTCCGTGAGAATATCTTCACTGGTTCAGTGTCCTCACTTGCTTGGTTCATGTCTGCGCAGGAAATGAGTTTTGTGACCCTGGGGCAGCGTGTTCTTGCAAACCCTTTGAAGGTGCGAATGCATTATGGTCACCCAGATGTGTTTGATAGGTTCTGGTTCTTGCCTAAAGGTGGAATCAGCAAGGCTTCCAAAGTTATCAATATCAGTGAAGATATATTTGCTGGCTTCAATTGCACACTTCGAGGTGGCAATGTGACACACCATGAGTATATACAGGTAGGCAAGGGAAGGGATGTTGGATTGAATCAGATTTCAATGTTTGAGGCAAAGGTTGCAAGTGGCAATGGTGAGCAGGTTTTGAGCAGGGATGTATACCGGTTGGGTCACAGATTGGACTTCTTCCGAATGCTTTCTTTTTACTACTCAACTGTTGGGTTTTACTTCAGCACAATGATTGTGGTCCTGACTGTTTACACATTTTTATGGGGTCGCCTTTATTTTGCTCTCAGTGGCGTTGAGCAATATGCCCTGAACCATAGTAACAACAACAAGGCTCTTGGCACAATTCTGAACCAGCAGTTCATTATCCAGCTTGGACTCTTCACTGCCCTGCCAATGATCGTGGAGAATACCCTTGAGCATGGATTCCTTCCTGCAGTTTGGGACTTTCTGACAATGCAGTTGCAGCTAGCATCTCTTTTTTACACCTTCTCCTTGGGAACTCGTTCCCATTTCTTTGGTCGGACTATTCTTCATGGGGGTGCCAAATACCGAGCGACGGGACGTGGTTTTGTAGTGCAGCACAAGAGCTTTGCTGAGAACTATAGACTCTATGCACGAAGCCATTTTGTGAAGGCAGTTGAGCTTGGAGTCATTCTAACAGTTTATGCTGCCAACAGCCCATTAGCTCGGAATACTTTTGTTTACATTGCCATGACAATATCTAGCTGGTTCCTTGTGATTTCATGGATGATGGCCCCCTTTGTGTTCAATCCTTCTGGTTTTGACTGGCTAAAGACTGTCTATGACTTTGAAGATTTTATCAATTGGTTATGGTATAGTGGTGGGATGTTCACAAAAGCAGAGCAAAGCTGGGAAGCATGGTGGTATGAGGAACAGAGCCATCTGAAAACGACTGGTCTTTGGGGGAAGCTATTGGAGATTATTTTAGATCTACGTTTCTTCTTCTTCCAATATGGTGTTGTATACCATCTTAACATTACTGGCGGAAACACCAGTGTAGCTGTTTACTTGCTATCTTGGATATACATGGTTGTAGCAGTTGGGATTTACGTGATCATTGCATATGCCCACGACAAATTTGCAGCTAAGGAGCACATCAAATATCGGCTAACTCAGCTTATAGTCATTGTGCTTACAGTACTTGTGGTTGTTTTATTGCTGAAGTTCACAAATTTAATAGTTCTTGATCTCGTGAGTAGCCTTTTGGCATTTATTCCAACGGGGTGGGGCCTTATATCCATTGCCCAGGTCCTTAGACCGTTTCTGGAGTCCACTGTTGTGTGGGACACTGTGGTGTCCTTGGCTCGGCTGTATGATTTGCTGTTTGGAGTAATTGTTATGGCTCCTGTTGCATTGCTGTCTTGGTTGCCTGGATTCCAGTCAATGCAGACAAGGATCCTATTTAACGAGGCATTTAGCCGTGGCCTCCAGATATCTCGAATCCTTACTGGCAAAAAGTCGAACTGATATTTATATATAACTTGAGGTACTATTATTGGACTTCTGGAGTTTTCCATATTGCTGTTGCTCATTGACCATGTGTCAATTGAATGAATTTTTTGATTGAGTTGAATTAATTTGCTTCATCTATTCTCATGTTAATCTTTAATATTCAAGTTTAAATGATAAAGATTTTTTTTTCTTTATCGCTTTTTCTGTAAGGTTAAATTTTGTTCTTGTACGAAGAACCTATGGTGCACTTCGCTGATATTTCCAGAGTTTCAATTGTTAATTCTAACATGATTCACATAACATATCCTGCAGAATGACTCTTTTTGTTGATTTTCAATGGTAACTATTTCTCTGTACCGTTCCCAATAAGAGCATTCACTTTCTCCCCCTGTATGTTAGGATAGAATTATGTGAACCCAAAATACATTTGTGAGTTTGGCATAGGCTCTCAAATCTCTTGGAGAAGAGTTGAGTCTTGAGCTAATCAGTAGCCTGTTAAGCTTAGTACCTTCCTGTACAATCGGCTTTACTTGATGGAACTCATACTAGCTTGAGGCAGGCCGAGGGAAATCATGGTTTCTTTAAGTTATAGTATCCTGAGCGAGAATTTTATTGAGTGAATCTCTAGTTTGACTGAAAACTGGTCCTAGTTGAGCCAAGAAACATGCTGCTCAAGCTATACCCTGAACTAGTTAATCCCAAGCTGACATCATCAGCTTGATTTCTTATATAGCTATAGTTCATGCATATCCATTCCTAGAACATCAAAACTATCTTGATTTTCAGGCCATGAAAGAGTTAATTGCTTTCAGACTTAAAAATCTAGGTCATTCTGTATTTGCTATTTGCTCTGATAGCCGCTGAATCCTACCTGTCCTACTGTAACGGAACCCAAGTTTCACGACAGATTTAGGTGAAGCTTTATTCTTTTTTTGAGGGGGTTTTGGGTCTAATATTTTGATTACTGAAGTTTCTGATTCTAAGAACAATACTGAAATTCTCTCTTTAAGAATTGTTAAAATATGTTAGTTGCATGGGATTCTTCATTCTTGCTTTTTGTGCTCTCACAGAAATGACTTGTAATCTTCTATGATTATTGCATGAATCTGAAGAACACCATATACTGCATCCTTCGTGTGTTTGATGAGTCCTAATCAACAACCTGCTATTGGCTCTTGTGTCTTGCCTGCTGTCAGTTCTTTTCTGCATTCTGAATGAAATTTAGGGTAGTATGCATTTCTTTGGAATTGCGTGTGACGCCGAGACTTACTGCCAGAATCGCATATGAAAAATTGATGAATTCTTGAAATTGCCACAGGAATGCTCATTGGAGTTGTGCGCAGAATAAAATTGGAGATTCCTCACTGACCAAGGAGTTGGTTTTATTCTATGCTGCTGTTCTGATCCTGATCTTTACCTCTGTCAACTTCATCTGCTGCTGCCATATGGGATCGTGTTGTTGCATTTCAAAATCTTTCTGCTTGTACAGAATAATTAGAAATGATTCATAGGAATTTTGGTGTAGTTGCGCTTTTAATTTATTTATGGCTTTGTAAATATTGTTGATATGTTAGAACTTCAATGCTAGCTTGTTAGAAGTAGCGCCTAGTATTATTTCCAGTAATTTTCCTGAATTCCTTCCTCTTACAGGTTGCTCCTGTGTCCATTACTAATTATTCTCTTGCACTTGTGAATATCAGATATTCGATCCAGTTGCTTTTTAATTGTAAGGTATTTCCTTAGCAAGACCTAAAAGATTTTGCATATTGACATCAAATTCATGTGAACAATTTTATTTTTAATATTTATTTTTTAGCAACAAGAACTTTTATCTATCAGATCCAACTAAATAGTGGTCAGATTCAACAAAATCTGTTGTTTGATATTTAATTTGCATTCTTAAAATCACTTAGAGAGAGAACTTAATCTCAATGAAACATAAATTAATCTAAAGATATATCTTACCATCAAAATAAAAAAATACATGTGTGTTATTGAATCCTCAAGGCCCCCTTTAGTAAAACGAGGCAAAGAGTATTCGTAGGCTTTCAGAAGTTAGAGTTTGGTTGTAGGGGCCAAATTGGCTAATACCGTCCTATGCATGGTTCCTTGGTCGAACTTCTTATAGTGGCCGACCAAAGGTAAGGCTCGCGTGCCAGTGTTGAACAAAACAGGGTCTAAAACATTAGCTGTAAACTTTGAGAAAAACCGGGGTCTTTCAATGAACCTATATAGAGAAAAAGTTATGGAACTACAGAATTAACTCAAAATTAGATTCAAGTCTTCAAATTAGCAAACAAAATTTTTGAAAAACAAGGTAATCAAATTGGCTCCGTATTCCTTAAGATGCCTTTAGTTATTTCCTGGAGATAGAAGAGACATGGGCAGGTCTATACTTCTATCTACCCACATTGAAAATACCGCTCACAAGAGGGGAAAAAAATCCATCTTTACTTCGTAAAAAAAAAATAATTTAGAGCTGGCAGGAAGAACCATGTTAAAATTTGAATTATCTACACTATTTCTCTACATGTATGAAAGCATGCACAAATTAAGTTCAGCATACATCCAAATTCCAGAAGATGCTTCATTGGTGGCTGAAAAAATCAACTATTCCTATGGATGACTAACACCTAAGGCAACTTTTGTGGTTCATTTACAGCCAAAACACACTTGAAAAGCATTCTTGAGATGTACAAATGAAGAAGCTCCATGAAACAAGTAGATGAAGAAGGCCCTCTCCACAACTCAATGCCCCCGTGTCTTCTAAATCTGCTTTCTGAGATTCCTGTGTAACTGATATCATGGCCTGCTCCAGCTGTCCCGTAGCTACCAAATTCAAATCATCATGATCAGAACAAACTATGACTTCTGAAAATCAAATTGTAATTAAAAGCTCTATGGGCTGCAATATCAAATTTGAAGATGCCAATATGCCTGCAGTCTGCAGAGAATCAAACACATGCCAACTAAATTTTCTCCTGGTTAGCATATGTGCACAGTGCAGTTAACACACAAGCCAACCAACCAAACATCAATTTTTCGCATTGTAACTTTATGGAGCACAGACACATGACAGTAAGTAGAACATTTATCCCTTGAAAGAAACCAAAATTTGATGGCAATCAAAAACACATGCACAAAGATATACACGTGTACTAAAATGCAAATATGAAGCATAATTTACTCCATGATACTGTCAAAGAACAATGCAGAAACACCAACAGGCAAGCAGCAACCAAAAAACATTCAGTTAGCAGTGTTGGCATGTTTGCAGTGAAAAAGGCCAGATGACTAAGAACACGAATTCAATTTTCAAGAATAGATGGGATACAAGAAAAAGAGCTCGGGTGGATTTTGATACCAGGCTCAAATATTTTATATCACCAAACAAATAAACTAATTAAAAATTCCATAACTACAGATTTGTAAGATATCTAAGACAATCAGAGTATTTAGCATACCTCAGTTGCTTTTATACACCAAAAGCAGTCTTGCAATGGCATAAAATCTTCAATGAGTGCCTATCTCTTGCAGTTCCTCACTGCTAACTATGGGAACCTTTTCATACTCGGAACCCCCTCTAAATCTCTTTGGAAGAATGCAATGACCACCAAATCGCTGCTGTAGGTAAACGAGGGTAGCAAACAACAGACCACACAGAGGGATTATGATGTCCCAAGCGGTGGAATAAAAATCACGTGTGTGATTTGCATACAAGTATGACAAATCAAGGTACCAGGCAGAACTGTGAACCCGGTAAAGGTCATATGCATGAGGCAGTAAACGAATAATGGTTGTCCCAACATAAAACGAAGAGGCAAGAGTGTTTTCTCTAGAGTTCAAGAATAAGTTAAACATTATCTGTGGGAGTAAAAAACCATCCATAATCAAACCAGCATATGATTTAAGATCTGTCCAGGGATGATTTCCTTGGTAAACCTTATGGCCTCGTAGTAGATGTGAGCTCCTATAAGTGTTTTTCCAGTTGTGCACATACCATGCAATGAGTCCACCAAAAATGTACACTGGGAAAGACCAATAAAGAACCCTTTTCTCAGAAAGCCACAAGCTTTTATGGCTTCCATCAATCTGCCTAGCAGACCAGGTGAGCTGTAGAAGCCAGAATATCAAAAGAAAGGCTACCATCTTTACCACCCTTACTGCTACTTCATTGACTTCAAGCCATCCACCACTCTCAAGAAAAACATTCTGTTGGTTACGGTTTGACACAAACAAGGCTTCAAAATTTAACAATAGAGGTATCATATGACCCAGAGTAAGAACAAGAAGCATCATAAAAGAAATCATCGGCAGCACATCAGGATGCTTTTTCACATGATAGAGTTGCAAACCCATAAAGATACAAGCAAGAGTATTAGAAATCAAAACCATCGTTATTTCCATATCCATTCTCCAAATGGATTCCACAGCTTGGTGCCGATAAATCGAGTTTGAAGATATCTTGAGCTTCTCAAAGTAAAGAGGGTCTGACTTTTCCCTTATGCTTTCAACTGTTCCTTTGATGTTACCCTGACCCTTTCCATTCAGTGGGGAAAACTGGACATTGACAAGAACATCACAGTCAGTTGAATCATTTTTTGCTGAAATTCCCATATGTGAAATCAAATATCGACAACCAATCATGCATAGAACACCAATCTCATTATCGTATGTTCCTTCAGCTGAAATCGTGCCTGATTCTTTTGATGGAAGCATGCCCAACTTAGAATTATAAAAATCTGTGAACACCATCTTGTAGCTAATATTTAGAGGACCACTGTAGTTGCTGGTCATCAGATATGGTTCAAACAGCCGATCACCCACAAACATCGGGGTTGAAAAGCCCTGTGCTACATTTCCTTTCCCATTTCTCACTAACATATCAAACCGCATGTCAGATGAATAACCATATGGGTATGTTTTCCCTTTAGCTTTCATGGACTTCTTTTCTGCACAAGATTTATGCGCCTTGTCAAGCATAGTATACTCATAGTTCAGACCTGGAAGTCGCCTTACCTCAAACTCAGAACCATGAAACCCAATTCTGCGAAAGTAGCCTGTATCATTCACAGTTTTGTTGCTAGAAATTTGCCCCACAACAACACTCTGATCTCTAATCGTCAAGGTTCTCGGGAACCTCAAGGTCAACTGAACTGAGCAATCACCAACAGTAGCATTAGCTAATGAAACATTAAAATTCAAGACACGACAAGCAACCACAAATAGTCTATTCCTCTTCTCATCCCAGACTCCCTCGCCAATTAACATTGTATTAGGATCAAAAACTTTTTCAGAGCCATAAGGTCCATAACCATTAACAAAAGCAGAATTCAAAAACCCTATCAAAACCCGAGCTTCACGCTCATGCTCATGCTCATGCTCATGATCACATCTAATTCCCTGAATTGTCATAATCTTGGGCAAAACCTCAAAACTCCCACTAAAAGGATTACATTTACCACCAATAACACCACTACAATCACTCCCATACTCCAATTCCAATATCCTAGTATGCCAATACATTTCATTTAAACACGTACTTCTATCTATCGATTCAATAGGCAAATTCTCACTCTCTGCTACACTATCATCATTTTCACTAAAACCCATGTTCCCACTCTCCTTATCTACCAATGCATACTTATATTCACCAAAATGAGGTATACCCAAAATCGAAACCGGCTCAAAATAACCAAAACTACCTTGAAAATCCAAACTTTCCAAAACCCCATTAATCAAGACCCTAAAATCGCTTAAACCCACAGGATAATTAACCTTAAAAACAGCATTTAAAGAACTTACACCGCTATTACTTGATCCAGATCCCACCATACACAGCTTCCCTGAATTCATTGACCAGAACCCATATAGCTCAAAAACTAGATACCTAGAGTTTACTGGAATTCTAGGCGGCCGGTACCGGATTCTCTTCAAATTCTTGCGATTTCGAGTAATATTATTCCAATGAAACCCGACAGGAAAGCGAAATCTAAGAGACCCTTGAAGGGAAACCACAAAAGGGTTCTCAGTTTGATGAAGGCTGAGTCTTTTTCGCTTAAAAGTGAGAAAATTCGGAGGCGAATCAGAGTCTGGTTTTTTGGGTATGATTTGTGAGCCACCAGTGAAATAGGCAACATCAAAATTGAGGATTTTGGTTTTGGTTTCAAAAAGAGAGGCATTGTTTATTATAGTCCCTGTGATTGGTGATTCAGGGACTACGCTGTGGCAGTGTTTGGCGTAAAATTCAAGGAAATTTGATGGCTTTATTGTTGTTGGTGTTGAGATTGCTAAGGTTGTTAGGGGAAGGAACGTGAGGAAAATATGGAAGGGAGTGAAAGGAAATTTGTGGGGCTTTGGAGGGTTTAACGGGGGCGAAGCCTTTTTGAGAAATGAAGATGATTTAAGAGCTCGAGCCGGCTCCATAGTCTGGAGATTTCGGAAAGGGGAAGACTGAAGATTGAAGTGGAGGTCAGGATGGTATTTATAGGTGGGCCTAAATGGGTCAAACTTCCCTGAAGTTTAGTTTTATTTAAAAATTAGTCTTTTAACTTCTAATTTCCAATTTAACTTCTTCTAATTTTTTTATTTTTTAGATTTAGTCCCTCTTTTAGGTTTTTTTTTTTTTCAAAACTAATGGTCTCATAAATAGCCTCATGATAAAAATCATTCATATTTTTTTTCATATTTGAATTATGTTTTCTTCAATTTTTTTAATTAAAACCCTTTATTATTTTTTTATTACTTAATTGAGACCTTTTGCTCTTTGAGATTTTTTTCTTTGAACCTTCTGTTATAACGTCATCAATCAGTGATTGATATTTCTTTGAGATTTCTTTCTTTATAATATCACATGTCGATTAGTGATTGGTAATGTTATAACAAAGGGTTTAAAAAAATTTGAAGAGTAGAGGGTTTCAATCAAACTAAAAATATTAGAAAATCTTAATAAAAAAATTAAAAAATGCAGAGTCCAAATGTAGGGAAAACCTGAAATTATTCAATAATATTTGTCTAGGATTCCTAAAAAAATTGAGATCATTGTGAGTTATTTTCTATTTTTCTCATTTTTTATATTTTTAATGTTTAGAAAATTAAAAAAAAAAAAAGTTATACATCCTGACCTTCAAAAAATCTTAAATTTTTCAAAAAAAGTATTGAATATTTTTCAATACTTGTGCAAAACATCAGCTCAAAATACTAAAAATTGAATTTTTTTAGACATGAGAGTAATAGATAGAAATCATAGAATATATTAAATCTAAAAAAATTTCAGAGAAGGCCAAACCCAAAATTAAAAGTTTAGGTATTGATTTTAAAATAAAATAAAATTCATAAAAAATTTAATCCATTTAACCTTACAGGTATGTTTGTTGGATTTTTGATAATGTACTAAACCCGGATTTATATCTTCTATGAGCTCTAAATTAAACTGATCCTAGCATAGAATAGTTTTTATTGAAAATTAAGGGTAATTTTCAATGTACTTTGACTACTTTCTCGTGTTTTCTCAATTTCACTAAAATATTTGATTTATTTCTTATATTTCATAATTTGTCTCGTCTTTATTTGTCTTTAGGTATTCGGTTTTGCAAAACTGCAAATCATGTTTCGTCAAGTCGTCAATTATCAAAAAAAAAACGTAGTGGATGTACAAGGTATTCTCTATCAAGAATCAACCCATCCATCCAGCTCGCAGCTAACATATAGAGAGCAAAAGGTTTGAAATGAGGGGTTTTCGTATAATAACTATGATTCATTTGTTATTATAGGGGGGCAAATAATATGAACAGCCCTACTTTCATATACCTAGTGGATGTAAGAATTTCAGATTTCTTTTCTTCTTTTTTAAGTGAAAATGCAGGTCAGGATGGAATAAATTCAGCTTAGCTCTTTGGTTGTTAAGAAATGCATCTAATCAGGGGTCTATGAAAAGTTGGTCATAAACATGTATTGCATAAAAACGTTATGTTTTTTTCTGCACGTTGAGGCAATTGGATCCTGGAGAACAAACATTTGTAGGAATTTCTTGTAATGCAAGCTGCTTTGACAATGTTCAAAAGAGACAAAAAGCACTGCCCGCATCACTATACAATCATTTACACACCAATCCAAATTTTATTCAAACCCACAGTACATTATTGTTTTTTGAGAATAATGTATTATCCTCATGATAAATTATTGCTACAGCCCATAACATAACACATTTACGAAACCAAGAGTCTATATATAATTTATTTTTATTTATTTTTTGCTCTCAAACAGCAAACACAATGAGATCACACTGAAAACAGAAAATCACCAAGAACAAGTTGATATCATACAGAAGTATGTATACGGGAGGAATGCCTTGCTATGCACATTCATTTGTCTTGTTCAATGAATTGGCTGCAATCAACTCCTTTACCAGAAAATGCCTCCACGAGCTTTGGGAAGAGCTTTCCTAGCATCATTTTGAACCCTGTAGAACCACCCTTTTGATTTTCATGCTTGGTCTTTCCACAGTCAAGTGCATATGCCACTGGAGCTCCTTCCAGATACGATTTACAAGCCAATAGAATATTCTGGGAACGTCGATGTAAGTGCTCCTCCACGAGTGCCTCAAAATGCTGTAACACAGTACATTGATGTAGACAATATTATTACTGATTATAAAAGGCATTCTTTACTGTGTTTCTACAGCATTCATATGGGGGGAAAAGATAAGCTTGCGGAAATAACAGGATAGCAAAATCCAGCAATCTCAAAGAAATTGTTTTTATTGAATATTTTTTATTTTTTATTTTTTACAAACATAATACGTAGCACTCAATCATCATGAAATACAGCACTTGAAAAAGTATTAATCCGTAAAAGTGTCAACTTCAGCCTGTGATGTTGGAAATGACATTGTTGTTCCAAGGACTATGCCAAATTCGTCTACGAGATCCAAGCACCCTTAATGTTAGATTAATCCAAAAGTAAAAGTAGCAGTCAACATAGAAGCAGCTGGCTTTCTAATGAATGGCTATAGTTCAAAGGCAATTATCATGATAGTCATTACTAAAATCAATGCAATAGTGGAGTAATTTTGATACCAGAGCTGTTGATTTTACCTTTGGTGGTTGGCGAATTAGGTAAAGCATGGACTTCCAGGTCATAAGGAATGCATTTTCATTATAGCTTATAGAATTTTTTTCTCCCTCAGCTCGCCCTATCTGCGTATCATACCCAGCCTCATTAAAGTAAGGTTTTTCGTTAAGCACGAGGGCCTGGAGGGAGAGAAGAACTTGAAGAATACTGGAGCTTTCTGGATTCCATACTTCAGATCCTAAGCCTGTCCATGTGTTGAGGAGACTGAGACAGATTTTTCCAGACTCGTACAAATTCGGATTGACACGAAGTCCACCAGAACGATAATGCACTGCCTGTGTGAGATATTATATCAAACAAAGGTAAGTCTCTTGTAAAAAATGAATGCATCCTCTTTCATACAAGTAGATACACTGTTAAAAGAAAGGATACAGACTTCTAAATTAGATACCCTAATTCAAAAAAAAAAAAAAAAATTGTATATCTCTTCGAACAATGGCACTGCATAGTCAGATTAACCCTTTGGTAAAAGGGAAGAGAACTTATAAAGACCAGGTTGTCTTTGAGCCCTGCACGATTTGCAGCCATTTACTCAAGCAGCACTAGAAAAGCTTTGGAACTTTAGATTAACTTACAGGTGGTTCATGAGGATACTCTGGAGGAAGAAATATATCAAAAAAGAACAGCCCATCATGATATGGAGTTCCATTTGAACCAACAATGGCTGCCCGAAGGAGATCCATCCTATCCTCATAGATGCGGACATAGATTGATTCTGTTCAGGTTACCAAAGTTCTTATAAATGATGCAAAAGTTGAACAATGAGCCTGTTCACAAAATAAGAATCAAAAGTGCAGTACAAAATTAGATAAAAAGCTAACCAGGAAGATTTTTTTCTAGAAAACTCCATTCCCGTTGAACATTCTTCAACCAACCTCTTTTCACCTGTGTGGAGCAAACACAGAAAGCATATGATTCCTTATTCCTGTTGACTACTAAGTTTATGGAAAAAATGAGGTCAAGTTTCTGACCTGGGACAATGCCAATGCATTGCCTGCACCATCAAGAAAGTGGTTGTCAGAGCAATCAACAACCATATCAAATCGCTTGAACTGTTCTGGTCTCTTGCCAGCAGATGAAGATCGATGTTTGTTCTCATCTCCATAAAAGACTTCTGGCTTTAAATTTGTCCCTTCAAATCTCAGCCTGTCGTCAGCTACTAAAGGTTGCAACTCAAAGCACAGATCACAAGCTTCCGGCTTATCTTTTTCTTCAGGTGTCTTGGATTGATTTCCATCTTCGATAATAGGGTCAGATGTTATTGGCCCAGAAACTGTTGTGGAACCAAAGAATCCAAATATACCTTCTGCAATCCTTGAGAAAAATCCAAGAGCGGATTGAGGAAGGAAAAAGGAACTAGACTCCCATGGGCACTTAGACTTAGTGCTCTCATAGCCAATGCCAATGGAATTAAGCAAGTCCTGAGAATGTAACTGATCTTCAGTTCCAGATTTTAAAGGAGATGAAAATGCAGATGATACAAGAAGTTTTACCAAATAACCAGAACATTAATTATCCCAAGCTAAAGAAATTCACCAGAATTCTGTTTTTGTTTATGGTCTGCCAACTATGTAACACAAAAGGATACTTCGAGTTATTGTGACTCACAAAAGCAAGGTTACGTTGGGTCACTATTTAGAGCCTACTTTTCTTTATTAGTTTGTTTTCCCATCAGCTTATTAAGCAATCAAATGGGCGTCAAGCAAACAGGTCCTGATTGATGAGTTTTACATAGTACAGTATTTTTGTCGAGGTTATATTCACTTTTTATTATGTCTCGATACTTCAAAACCCAACAGATCATTCACCAAAATTGCAACAGATGAAACACCCTGCAAAACTGAAATCCTGGATTTGGCATAAGCTATTCCAGAAGTCCATAGTCCAGACCCAGCACGCCCGATGCTTCCTTATTTATTTCATAGTAAATGCAAAAATTAGACCCTTCATTTCAGCATGTTATCATCCTTATAAAACCCCAAAACTGGAAAGCAACTCTATTTTCTTGATACGAGAGGAGAAGAGTTGGATTTACTTTTCCTTTCAGGGTTGAAAATTGCTTGTCATGATCAACCATCTCTTGATTCACGTCCTCTTCAAGTGGTTCATGTTGCGTCATTGTTTCAGCTGAAACTTCATATTTATCGATTCGAAATATGTGATTAGGTGAAACCTGTAACAATGTGCAACATAGTATTTAAGATTGATGCTTCAATCAATCTCCCCAGCAATGAATGAAAAACAAAAGACAAAAAGTTATTTAAAAGCTGGATTCAGAGGATAAATTACGCCAACATTCTAAGTTACTAGAATAGTTAACTGGTTTTTGAAACTGAGATTACCACATGTCAAGAACATACAGGTTACTGGAAACAAACAGCACACTGGACCTGCTAATCTTCCTAACACAAATATAAATCCTACTTCTATATGTCAAAAAAAAAAAAAAAAAAAAAAAAGGTAAAAGAAATTCAAAAAACTGACCCCAAACTAGACCTGTATCCAAAGTGATGAATAATTTCTTTCTTTTTTCAAGTCAAACCATAATATCACTAGGTGTGGGGTGGGGTGAACTGACCCAAGCAACCTGCTGGCCCTATTTTTATGGCTCGCCTAGGATTCTACCAAAAGCTTACTAATGGTCTCCTATCTAAAAGAACGAGACAACTTCCCATAATAAGTAGAGGTGCAAAGTCCAAACAACTCTTAGGCCAGTGGCGGCCGGGTGGGTTTTTCAAGGCTAATTGCAGGTTCATGACATGAACAGCAAGATCTGTAATGTGTAATAAGAATAAGAAAATACACATGTTTTAGATAGTCATAACCAAAGTAATTAAGGCATACATTGCCACTTTTTAACAATTTTTTTCATAATTAGCCTTCGGATCCAGTGCAACTTCCATTCTATCAACCCTTGTTCTGTAACAAGGGGACTACCTATCTACATGTGTCCAAGACAGTGCAAACTCATCACGCACTCTCAAATGCCTGCTGAAACTAGAAAATTGTAAATTAATAAACAAATTAATATTATAATTTCAAATGAAGAATGAAAATGGCTAGAGCTCACACCTTGCTTTTGAGACTAGAAGCCCAAGTCACCTCAACTCCACCATCTTCGAAGCCTGTCACATAGCCGATACACGAAAAGTAATCAACCTGATCTTCACCATGGTCACTGCCTTCAACAGCAGCATCCACACCCATTCCAGTCTCTCTGTTCGCATAGTCTTTATCAGCTTCATCCAAATTTTTAAAGACAATATCCCCATAAGAGTAGGAGTAGTCAGGGTGTTCAACTAGCTCGTAGGCACTGACAGTTTCCTCCATCTGGTCACTTCCTACATTGTTAGCCTGGTCCACTCCAACTGATTTCCATTTCACCTTAACAGTCCGTTCTTTTGCATCCACACAATTCACAAAACCCCATTTTTGGTTGCCTGAAAAATGTGGATCATCACAAGCACCCTTCTCTAGTACAAATTGCCCAGGCCAGAAATCATGAGTGTTGACAATATTTACAGGGAGCAGAGACTGTGAATCCAATCCCTGCGAGCAACTACCATCCTGCCACACAACATCAACAATGGTTTTTGTCTTCACAATAACTAGTATATCCTGAAAATTTGAAGAGGGGTTCCGTCCCTTAAAACTATGGCCGATCTGCCTGTCCTCTTTAATGACCTCAATGATGGATGCATCAAAGATTATCTGCTCTTTCAAACCCTTACAATCGGCCAAAGGAAGCATACACCAGTCACCAAGTTGCCAATTTTCATGTAAAAAGCATGAAAACAAAGTCAGGTTTTTGGCATCCTGCAAACGCTGAGGAGCAGGCAAACTCAAGTCATTACCAAAAAGAGCACAGGCAAGCCAATCTACATACACCAAGCCTGCTTTTACAGCAGAAACAGTCCCTACATCCTGATTTTCCTTCCAAGCTCCACATAACCATCTAGCTGATTTAGATACTGCTGAGAGCCTGATCTGCACTCTCTGTCCTGGATAATATGGATATGTTGAATCTTCAAGTATGTTAGGAGATATAGGCAAGAGCTTTTCTTGATCCACTGCAGTAACCTCACAAGATGTCCCATCATCGAAAACTACAGTGACTGAGTCAATAACTTCATCAACCCTTCCTATCCATGGCCCATGAACCACATAATCTCCTACTGAAATGGAACGAATCTTCAAAAGCTTCTTTGAATCAACATCTTTTATGATTCTTCCATGACTATTTTCCAAGTTGACAAGCATATTAACATTTACAACTCTGCCCATCTGTCCAGATGGATCGGTCACAGAACAAACAACATCTCCACGGATGAATCCTCTCTCAAATGAGAGAAAATCATCAATTTTCCCTATGCTTTCCTCCAGACTAGAGAAAATGCTGCTTGCCCTACCGCCATACAGAAATTCAAGTTCCTCTATGTCCTCACTGCTACTACCATTATCACTGGAACTTTCCCAATCAGAGTCACTAGGGAGCATACCCATCACGTACAACAATATATCTAAACTTCAGCTCTGAGACAAGAACGACATGATCATTTAAGGTAATAATCATCCAAAAATGCAAATTTAACAATATGTTAAGAAAGAAATTAACAGCGAGGAAGAAAAGAGAAGTACCGTTCAATTAACACTTTTTCAAGAAACTGTCCAAGAGCAGTGCCACTGTAATGCCACGATAAACACACTGGCAGTGGATCACTAAACAGTGGTGTGCCAGATGATCAAACTAAAAGGTGCCGATAATTTGGAATGGGTTGAACAATTATTTTTTCTCTCAACCGATGCTGAGGATCAATATAGATATCTCAACAAGATATCTTAACCTTTAAAGGCAGAGATGATGTTCAAAACACCAAAAATTTGCCTTAAAGGGATAACGGGAAGCCAACTAAGGACTTCCTAATGCCAAAGGAGATTTGCCCTACAGGGACAACAGGAGTCGACGAAGACTCTGAATGCCAAAGGAGATTTGCCCAATGAATGGACTGAAGCTTCTGCAAGAAGAAATTTCCAAAGAAGATTGTACTGCAGAGCTGATAAATTGATAGTCACAACTGCTGCAGATTAGAGTGAAGCTCAATAGAGAAAAAAGAATTTAATGCCAAAGAAGATCTTTCCTTTATGGGGAGGGGAATTCTTGGTGGGTGATGATAAAGTACAGCTATCAGAAGTATCAACTCTTCTTGATTATTCATTTTCATGTGAACTTTCCAGCAAGAGGAACTTCAGTAACTTTGCCAAAGGAGATTTGCCCTAAAGAGCTTAATCTAAGTGTTTAAATACTACTACTAAATCCTAAAAAAGGGTAAAAAAAAATGCTTCTTTTGGGAAGCAAATTTATATTGCCAAAGAAGATTTGCCCTGCTTGAAGCCAAACTTTCGGCGAGATTGGTCTAGTGCCAATTGCCAAACCTCATGACAAGTATTCAGCTAAATAGAATAAGGTCAGGACAACCGGACAAGCTTCTTGCAGCTTAACTTAATCATGTGCTCAATGATATCTTAAACAGAACTCTCTCATGGCCATCTTTAGTTTCCAAAAGTAAACCCTTCTACATCTAATTTACTGTTTCCATGCAACCTGCAAGAATAAAACCTTTTAATGGTATTATGTGAAGAAAATATAAACAGGTAAATCAAATAAGTTATGAGAAGGAAAACTTTTCTCATCAAATTTACGATGTTTTTGCTAAGAAGTGAAAGGAAAAAAATTAAAGCAGGGTCTAAATAAGTAAATTAAGTAGCAATCAACAGAAAATTTTCAAACATGATGCATGAATTGTTCTTCCTATTATAACCATATTTCTTACGGACAAAGAATAACATCCCATTAGCGAAAAACATTAAAAAAAACAGAATTCTAGTTGATTAATTCAAAAAAAAAAAAAAAAAAATCTACCCCAATTCTGAATAAAGACCTCTTCAATTCAATTTTACGTACCAGACTTCATGAGATCATTCAGGGATTCACAAACTCAATCAGATATATGAGCAGAGGGCACAAGTATAGGAGAATAGAAATAATTAGCGTATCCTAAAGACAGAATGTCTAAACCATATTTCTCTAAATATTCCAGGACCACTTCCTTCAATAAGAGCATCATAAATTCACAGCATAAATAAAACTAAATAAAGCAAACAAGCACCTTCTAAACATAAACAAATTCCACTGAAAGCCAACAAAAGAATTGGATTCCAATTTCCAAAGCATTTCAAAACAATATGAGATATGAAAAACATGAAATTTAACCTCAAATAGCCCCTTCTATTTATCAAACAACGAGAACCAACAAACCACGCCATAGTTCTAGAAACCTCCAAAACATAAAAGAATGCATCAACTCCACCATGAGGCACAACATTATTATACACATAATATATATATGTATGCATGTATGTGAAATCAAAAGGTTAAAGAGAAAAGGTACCATTTGAAGTTTCTGTACATCACAGGAGCCATATGTACAAACTATCACCAACAGTCCACCCCCACCAAGAAAACCACACAAAGTACTACATGAGCCAATCAAAAGAACTCAACCCAGTTCATAACTTGGCAATAAAACGAAGTTCTTTTGATTTTTCTCAGACTTTCTTGGTCAAGGAAAAAAAAAAAAAAGCAGCTTTATGTAACCGGGAATTCAGAGAGGTCAACAAGGATGTCCTCTCTGAAACCCACACATCAAGCCATGAAAAGAACTGGAGAACATTGCACAAAGACAAAGACACAAACACAGTGAGTAGCGAAAGAAAAGGAAACAAAGGGTCACTTTCTTTCTCTCACTAGAATTAGTTAGGTATGTGTTTAAGGCTGTTTTAGTTCGGTTCTCTAAAATCTGAAACGTTGGAGGTTTTTTTGAGTGCTTTTAATTTTTCATTAGCATCCAATAACATATACAGACTGCTAACTGTAGATACGCACAGAATATACCAACAGTATCAGACACAAATACTGTACTTGCTAGAGATAAAGCTAACTAAAACAGTTAGATGAGTCAAAACACTAATTTGCCCTTCATCTCTAATAAAATGGCACACCCTAATTAGTAGGAAAAACCTCAAATTTAGCCCCTAATGTATTACCGTACTATCAATTGAATTCAAAATCTTTTGACTTTATCACCTCTGCCCCAATACAGTCAGCCATTAGTCAATTTTACATCTTCATCCATCCACTGTTGTCAATTAAAAGGTTTCGTCTAATTTACACCTGTTTGTTAAGCATTTTCATTCAAAACATTAAAATAAACACTAATATATTCTAAAAAATTAATCATAGTGTTGAAATATGATATAAGTGTATTAGGTTTTTTTATGTCCAAGGTAGAAAGAAGGAGGAGGATGGAGAAGAGAGAGAGAGAGAAAGAAGACAGGATTGCAATTTGATTTTAGTATACTTTTTTACAATTTTGTTACAGCATTTGTATATATTATTTGACTCATTCTTTATTAAAGAATAACCGATTATCTTATTTAATAATCAGCCCAATAATACTAACTTGTTAGTTTAATCTGCCATAATTAAATAGCTTGTCAAGTATAAAATAAAACGAAATAAACTTATTTCATTATAATTTATAGGTGAAGTTGAGTTAATATTAGACTCTATTTAAACTCTAAACTCTAAGCGTTCGAAAATTCACAATTCAATTTAAAACATTGCATTTTCCTTTAAATATGAATTGTCCGAATCAAAATATGGTAAAATTTTTTTATGTTTATACAAGCTAGTGGAATGGGGAGAGAGAAAAAATTTACCATAATTTGATGAAAAAGTTTTACCATAATTTGAAGCTAAAATCCTTTATGGTATATCAGGGTTATGTTGGCGTCTTGGATGGAAGAATTTAAAGAGCATATGAAAATTGAATGGAACTTTTAAATACCATTAAAATTGGATGAATAAAAGGGCAAAATTAATAAAACTAAAACTTTTGAAACTCAACTAATAATGAAGTACTTTTGAGGCTAAAGAAGGTTATTGCTATTATTATTATTATTATTTGCCAACGGTCGAGTCCTTGTAAAGTCTCCGATAACTTTTCTCCCACTTATGCTGACTGTCTAATTGTGCCGATATTCAAAGCAAAACAAAATAGAAGAAAAGAGGGTCCATGTTTTATGTCTCCGAGTTCCATTTTTATACATTTAAATTTAGGGTTTGCCAGGTGCTAGTTCCATTTATAGCCTCTTTTGTCAAAAACCAAGCACGTGGCGGCAGAAATTATGACCTCTACGATATTAATAGAAGACAACTGGTCGGACCATATCATTAAAATGAGGACTACAATGATATATATATTATCACCAATAACAAAATCATACAGATTAATGGCTTCCACATGTTAGCTAATTGAAGTTGCAATGTAATCTAATCAAGCTTTCTTTTGAAACAGCATAAAGAATATGTTTGGTAGCATTACTCATTTAAGGTAAATACTGACCGTTTTGGACAGAAAAATGCCTAATAAGTGATACTATCACCTTTTTTTTTTTCCTGGAGAACAGAAGTGATCAAATCACCAATCAAGGCTGATCAGTACCACTGTTTAATCTCTGTTTATCCTAATCTTTATACTTTAGTCCAAAGAGTATTCTTAACTTAGGTTCAGACCTGATTAACACACTTTGTTTTTACATATTATGTGAAAAAAATAAAAAAAGAGACTAGAATATAATGCAAAGTTTATGTATACGTATAATGTGTATGCATGCAAAGCAATTTGCCGGTATATCTAGAAATATTTTTGGAAGTTAAGAACATCATGTGATTAGTTTGTCAAAAAACAACATCACATGATCACTAGTTAAGGCATGATTAATAAGACATTTTTATCATATGTCTATGTAATTTGTAGTTAATGCCTTGTTTATTTCATCTTAATTTTTAAGGTAAATTACAATAGCCTTCATTAAAAAAAAAAAAATCACCTATTTTGCGCCAAAAAAAAAATAGCACCTAAAAATTTCAAAATTCTTCATAAACGCCCTTTTGTACTTCATATGTCACTGCTCTTGATAAAATCATTCCGATTTATGTAATATCTATGTATTTTTACGTTAGAAGAAAAGGATAATGTAATTTATCCTAATTTTTAAACATTTGTTACATTATTTTCATTGGTAGATCCAAATTATGGAATTTATCGAAAAGAAATTCCAAATTATATATGGACAAAAGTGTAAACTGCCATAAGTTTAATGACTTCTGATTTTCATAGATATTTTGATTAACCAATTTATGTAGGTAAGCATGTTTGCCAATATAAAGCTAGCAAGGCGGCATAGCTCTAGTCTTCTCTAGTTGTATTAATCTTCAAAGAATGATTTTGTCTAACTGCACTAATTCACTATCTACTTGGAAAGGCAGAAATATTGCTTAAATATGGCAATGAAAATGACTATTTCCTAACTATACATCTTTTCAGTTGATCAATGATCATATTTTACATTTTTTTAATACAACCTTTTTCTCTTTTTCG